TATATTTAAAAAATTTCATTTTAACATATCATGCAATATTTGTACTTGTAATTGTAATGTTTAACTATAGCCATAATTTTAGAATTATGATAAATGAAGCAATTAAAATTTACTTCCCAAATTTTTCAGCAAATGGAGTTTGAATGGGTACTTCATGAAGAAGTTCATTCTTCACTATCACAGTTGAGGAATATTTTAATGGTACATTAGAAATATATGTGTTTGTGGAATTATTAATAGAACAAGCAAAGAAATTATTGCTTTATGTTATGCTACAGGAATGTGCGCAAAGATTTCCATTAGCGTTATTTGGCAATGATCAACACAATAAAACAGATAGATTTGTATTTGCTGCACCACATGACCAAGTGAAATGTGTAGCTGTTTTAACTGGTGATAGTATCACAAATGCAGTAAGTAACAAATGCTACTTTAATATGTACTTGTATAATTAATTAGGAAAAAATATTTGTAGGAAGTTAACTTTAAAGTGCAGCGTCAGCAAAATATTAATATGAGAACTAGTATACAAAATGAACATCCTTGGAAATTACAGCAGATACAAGACGCTGCTAATCATTTGCAGCAAGCTATTGCACACATAGACAATGTTGATCGTCATTATCCTTTTAAAACATCTGATGAAGTTATGCATGTATTAGGAAATATACTTGGTTGTCTTCAACGTAGTCGAACAAGTTTAATTGTTCCTAGGAAAAGAACCATTGATGATCTTATTAAAAGTCGTAATATGGTGGGTGAATATACTTCCAATTAATATTAAATGTTTATTAATCCTTTACAACTCTATATCAAATTGGACTTGTCAGATTTCATTCTATCTATCAATTTGAATATATTAAACATTTTTTTATACTAAGCATTACTTTTAATACATGTAAATATGTTTCAAGATTCTAATATATAAAAATAGAGATAAATAATAAAATATTCTTTATGGTGGTCAAATCCAGAAAATTTGGCTATTAGCTTCTATATTCAAAGTTATAAATTAGTTTTGGCAGTATATCAATTAGAGAATGCACATGGCAATGTTAAGTATGAAACACAACAAGCAGAATGTAGTGTTCCATGGTTAAATGATGCTTTAGTATTACTTACTATAGCATTACAGCTTTGTCAACGACTAAAAGACAAGGTTAGTTTAAATAATGTTGTTCTAAATTTCTTTGTCTTATCTAAAACATTTTTCAGATCTGTGTTTTTTCTCAATACAAAGATTTTACGGTTGGTTCTCATGTTCCTTCTACAGTGGGTTGATGATTAAAACATGTTTGAGCAATCAAATAACCTTCAATTAGGAAAATGATTTTGTATATCTATATGACAGTATGCCACATTCAGTGCTCTGGTAGCATTTTTAGTGGAATTTGTTTTTACATACGAGATTTGGTTCCAACATACTAAACTGTATATATATATATATATATGCATTGTCAGAAATAATTTTTTGAATCATGTATGTATATTTTGCTTGATACAGTGTCAGATACGGAGATTAAATTTTACATAACTCATTTTACACAAGAGAAATTCTTGTATAATAGTACAAGATCTGAGACTTTATTATCATTTATGACTTCAAAAGTATTTTGCTAATTAGTTGTGTGTCTGTATCTGTTACATTGTGTTGGATTTTGTTTGATGATAATTTTTAATCTTGTATGGAGAGCTTTGATTTAACTAAGAAGAGTCATAAATTGTTACTGAAACAGTTAATGGAACAATTAAGCCGTATGTTTATTATATTTCCTGTGATTTTTCGGGATGTTGTAATAATTCCTTTCGTGCTAGATTTTAACGCTCTATTTCTAAAATAGTGTATGTAAATCTAAAGCTCTTAATTTTAACTGTTTTACATACCTAATTATTATTTTACATACTTTAATCAGTTATTTATTTTACTTACCAAAGAAAATAATATTTAGTAAATGTTAACCTACATTGCCGTGGTATGACGTTCCTTTCATCATACTGTATCTATGTATTTACATACAGATATTTCAATTATCACTACATCGATCATAAATTAGGTATTAATATAATTGTTGCTGAGTAATGTTGTTGTTATTTATACACATAGTTCAAGAATAGTAAATTATAAGAATTTCAATACAGTTGTATTAAATACTTAGAATTGCCTTGAGATAACAATATTAGAAATGCGTTAATAATAATCAATATTAAAATCAATATCTTCTGATGAGTTAAACGGAAAGTTTTCATAAGGAAAATAAATTAATAAATAAATAATACTATTTAAAAATTGCATGCAATATACAAGTTGCTCTGCAACTAGTGGTAGAAATTTTAAAGGATGATTCTACAAATTAAAATAATACTGAATTCAAGAATAATAAAATTGCTTTTGAGACTTAGTTTTTTAGTTATAAACACTTAAAAAATTGACTAAAATATTTCTGAGACTCGACGAACCTTCATACATCAGCTGGTATAGAGCATATTGAGAGACGAAGGTACCATCACTACCAAAAACAATGATATACGACTAATAACATACTTCAAAACAAGTAAGGTCATCAGTGTGTCGTTGTTTCCGGTGATGATGGTACCCCCGACTTCTGATCTGCCCTGCACCGGCTGGTATGTGGAAGTTCGTCGTGCCTCAGGAATAGTTTAGTTAATTTTTTAACTGCTCATAATTACAAAACGAAGTCTCAAAAGCAATTTCGGTATTATTTCGGCTTATAGACTCACCCCTTCAAATTTCTTCCACCAGTTGTAGAACACCCTGTATGTATTCAAATAATAATACATAGATTCATGAGATCTTTTCTTATTTGGTTCTTGTGAAACAAATTATTTAAAATTAACATGGTCTTTTAAACTTGGGTATTTCTGATTTTATAGTAGTATACATATATGTATATTCATTCATATAATTTAACTATAAATAAACAGAATGAATTTGAGTAATATACAAAAATAAATACTCTAACTTTCCATGCAACTCAATAAAAAACAGTAATGATAATAAATCATTTTTACATTTATATCTTTCTATTAAAAATATTATTTTAACAAATTGAAATAATCATTGTTTTATGAATTGAATTGAAGTACCTTGATTATCAAGTGAGAGGTTTTCATAAAGAGCAAAGTCTTTAATTAGTTTGCTTTTAATACTATCAATTAAAATTTATGCATTCTTGTAGAAATGTTAGAAAAAGATAAACAAAGAATCAGATATATACTTTTATCTTACTTTAATTACTTACATGTTTGAAATGTTATAGGTTTACAAGTGCTGTGGTTTAGGTATTAAAGTTTATAGTTTCATTTTATGCACCATATTTCCTTGAATTATTATTGTGTTGTGTACTTATACATTACATTTTAATGATACCATTTTACAAATTATACTTTATTTATGGTTACTTGTTATATTGAATACCTTGATTTAATACACAATAGTACTTAAATACTGAGCATAAAATGATCCAATGCAATATATTATTTATTTTGTTCAATTTCCATTTTTTAAACATAGGAATAACTCAACATAAAATTCGTATAAAGAATAATTTGTATTATAATTATGTTTGTAATAACTGAAAATGAAGGAATGACATGTTCAATAGTTTTTTCATGTAAATGCTGTATTTAAGAAAAATAATAATACACTTATACATAATTTTAAATACTTTGTATTTAAAAACAATAAAAAATGTAGTATTTAGAAGTGATTTTCATATTTAATATTTATATATTTTTAATCCATATGACACTTTAATAAACACCAAAAATTACTAATTAATGAAATGATAAAATAGAACAGTTTGATTTTAGGAGTTCATAGTTAATAAGAAAAATGTTCACACACTTTATTGTAGCCAGTGCTACTTTTCTTAAAAAGAACATCTAATACTTTTACTCAGTTTTTTAAATTATTTAAAGAAGTTTATGCTACATTTTGGTACATTGAAAACAACCATTTTTTATTAGATAATAAATAATATTTATAATGAGATATAAAACACTTATAGAATCTTTTTTTTTACACAAAAATTCTAAAAGATTGGATATAAATTCTTTGTATTTAATATATGATATTCTGTTTAAGAAAACGAGCACTATTTGTTCTTAGTATATGAAAAATTTATATTATATTCTGACGAAATGTGTTAATTTTACTGAAAAATAAAATTATCAAAATCAACACAAAAAACGTAAATGTTTTCTTTTGTTATATGAATATATCCAGAAATAAAGACATTTTGTTATGTCTGTATTTAAGGTAATGGATGAGAAATCTTACCTTTCTCGTCGGATAACCCGACATTGTCTATTGAAAGGGGATCAGAATGTCTTCACCCGTCGAGTTCATTAAAGTACTATCTTCGCAATTATTAAAAAAAAAGATACACAAGAATAATATATGTATGTATATTTTTATTAAAAATAAGAATATAAAATACATGTTATACTTTTAAGAAAATATTATAATGGTTGTGGATGTGGTTTTTTTTTTACATATTTGCAGTCCAGAGCAATATTTCCATTTATGCGATGTAATTCTACTGTGAAAAGCTGGATCGTTCAGATACCATCCGTTGTTACTTAATACCATTACTGGTGTTCCATTAACGATTGCGTCTTGTTTATAGTTTACTTTCGCATTAAATGTGTCGCCGCTTAATATACATTTTAATATTTCGTAGTCTGTTAGTTCGATAAGTGGTTCGTTTCACATTAATATTTTTCAGTTGACGCATTTTTGTAACAAAAACTGATTGAATTTACTAAAATTACCAATGAAACCGAAATTTATGCAGTAGTGCATAACACTGTCGAAGAAGTAATTTTTACCCGACATAGGTGGTCTAATAAAGTTTGTACAATTTGTTTTTATATTGTTTATTTATAATATTACATAAATCTTTTAGAAATTGATATACAGATAAAAAATCATTATTATAGTGAAATAATAATAATTGATCTAAAGTATATGTTGATAGTTCTAAATCATAATAATAATCACTGAAATTATCAAACGAAGATGCCTTATATAAAATATTTTTCAGACCGAATGATTTAATAAATATGAATAAATCGTATATAGACATGTTATTTATTAATATTTTATGTCTTTGAATACGTACCTGTAGGTATTGAATATTTTCATTGATGTACACGTAGGTGGTATCGATTCATTCTTTTTGATTAAAAATATTGTTTATTAGTATTGCTTGAGTTTAGATTCTTTTTTCTGTCTGGTGTCCCTTCTTCAATGTTATCCTCTTGCATACTTGATCTAATATTGTTTTTACCATATCCGATATTAGGTCTGCTTCCAAATATATTAAAAATTGCTCCTCGTCACCGCATGCTTCCACCACAGATGACGTACAAGATAGATCTATCACCTAATGTATTTTTGTGTCCAACGTTCTGAAATACCGATCGTGTAAAAAATCAGAGGTTTTATCATAGACAAGATATAGACACAAACGAGGTACAGGGACAGACGAGATACAGGATAGACCTTGCATCTTATAAAACTTTTCATCCGGGACTTTGGGGCCGAGAATACTTCATTCTTCAATACTAAAATTTCACAAATTTATCGCAATTAATGAATTATTAACAGTTTCTTCCTCGACCGACTTGACTTAGGGCTTACAAAGCGGAGTTTAGTTGCACGCGGGCCAATAGGAAACGTTTTCTCTCTATCCTTCTCGCACAGTAGTGTGTTCCTTGTCTAATATCTCTGTTTACATTCTGTATTCCTAATAACGAGACATTAGTTAACGTAGCCAAATAGGAAATGGCGTTAGTTTACGTCTGTAAAGTCCTTTATCGGTGCGTCGCATCGAGATTCAAAGAGAATCTCCTGATTGCTACTCATGCGCTCAGGTTGCTCGAGCGTCACGTGGTAATTTAGATTGTGGCGGAAAGTACCGAACAGGCTACGCACACGCAGAGCTACCGCTACATTTGTATGAGAGGACGAGGACGGTATAGTGGGAGACGGCGGTAGGTCATAGTGGGGGTAAGCGCTTTGGCCCACGTCCCACAATTCTGGCATCACTGCCTATGAGGTCAATTAAGTTTAATTATGTTTTGGGTCTTGAATGACGTGAGTGCGCAGTAATTTCCGCCAGTGGTAGTGACAACAAACGACAGTGTACTTAGTGTACGTCGTATTGCTGTTAAAGTTTGTTTCGACTGTTGCAGCATATTAAGTATTATTTATGCCGTAAATGAACGAATCACAGTTATGTGAAACTATAAAATATTTTCAATGCATGAGATAGGAAATAAATTAATGTGAAAGTGTCGACTGTCCACAAAATAACGCACAAACATGGAAATACTAGATCCTAGTGTTTCAAGAGACGATCAGCCTTTGTGCACCAATGATTCTTTGGAAACAGGTTTGCTTTTGCTATTGTATTTTTATGTTTATTTAAGAATTTAATTTTCCTAGGTGCGAAAAATATTTTTTCTTTGACGATTACATTTACTATCGCTTCTCGTGTAGCTTATAAGAGTGCATTGTTTGGAAACAAAGGATTGACAAGGCAACATGAGCAATCCACAATATTGTCAGCTGTCAAAGTTTTCGAATGCGCTATTTTATTTAAACTACATAAATTTGAAACATTTTAAAGTTTTTTTGTAATGATTGTGTTACTTTTAAGAACATACGTTACAATTATGCCACGAATTTTTGTTTATTTATTTATTGTAGTATATGAATGAATTTTATACTATTATATTAAAGGCGAATAATAACACATGTCAAAAAAGAGAAAGAACCAGAAATTATATTACATATTATCAGAAGATGCATCAGGTTAACTGAAAGTAA